GGGAGGGCATTGATGACTTCATAGCCGGATGGAGTGGATACTCTAAACTAGCTTGGCTCTCTTTGTAGAACCCATGATGGGCTTCATTCTTAAATGGAGGGTGCGTCTGATGACATTAGTAGCATATTTTTTTTTAGTGGAATTGACATAGTAATTCAATTGGATTTTACAAATGATGAAAATGATACCTTAGCACCTAGGTTTTAGATAGTTTTATTCTTATTTCCTAAAACCTGAACCCTCAGGGGTCAATAGGAAATTTTCTGTTTGGTGTTTTTTTGTTTGTTTGTTTTAGTATGTGCATGGTGTGCATGTTTACTTATGACTAAGAACTCTTTCTGAAGCTTGAGTTCTTTTACGTTTTTAATAAAGTGGATTTTTCAACTATCTAACTTCCTTAATTTACACACCCTGAACCTTTGCTTTTATCGCCCAGGTAACAAATTACCATCTTGCTCCCCCTAGTGGAATTTTGACTCTACTTCAAAGTTTGAGAATAACTATCCTTAGTGCATATTTGATTTAGCATTTTGTTTTTGGAAGTCTGGTATTTTCCCAGTTTGTTTTCAGGGTGATAATAAAAACAGAATATTTTATTGGATGTGCCAATAGGGGATGTGGGTAGAGAAAGTGGCTTTTGACTGATTAGGTTTCAGTTCCAAGGGTTAGCAAGGTCAGCTACAAAATTTATAAGATCAAGGGGCCTTTCTGTTCCACATTTCTATCTTAGAGGGGTCAAGTGTCATCAGCTTGGCAGATATTCACCTCTAGAAGGCGGCTGATAACACTCCTGGAAAGGTGGTAAAGGGCTAGTTGTTGGTGATTTTTAAGGCAAGGACAGGTCCCATCTGAACAACAAATCCCACTTGTGCCTTTGGTAAATTTGGCCCAGGAAGTGTCCTTCTGTCTTCTGAATCTACCAGAGGGACTGCACCAATATATGCAGCACTGACAATCATTTTGCAGCTGCTAAGCATGCTAACAAAATTCTAGCAATTGAAGCTGAAAAGACTGCATACCTCTCTTAAGAATTTAAACTTCTTTAGGGGATGATGATCAATGATTTCATGGTATCTGAATCTCCTTTTTTCCTACCGCTATTTGTTTTTCTCCATTTTGACCCTTGTTACAATTTTGTGTTTATGCAACTCTGTACCCTACTGTACACAAAGCACTTGTGTTATATATGCTAGTGCTAAAATGTGTGAAACTTTAAAAGGAAATATCTGTATCTGCCAAGGCTTGGGACTCTGCTCTTGTGCAGGTAGGACTTTGCTTCTAAGCCTTATTTAAATTAAGGCAAAAGCTGCAAAAGTTATAATGGTTGCAAAATTAATGAACAACAGAGTATGTGTCCTTGATACTTATGAGCAAGAATATTGTAATTAGAATATTCTCTGCCTTAAAAATCATGTAATAGAGATAGTATTTAGATATATCTTTTCCTCAATATTTTTCTTAAGTTAAGTGTTTACCTAGGGAAAAATAAAACAGCAGGATCGCATTAAAATTCCAACAAAAGGGAGTGCCAAAGTGTTCTCTGGGAATGTTTTTGGGAGTGTGGAGAGAAAAAACAAGTAAGCAGTCATAATATTTAAAAAATAAATATTACTTACTCAAGAATCATGGTAATTTAGTTCAATAATTATATCCATACAAACCCACAGCTTCAGTTGAAGCAAAGCACGTTATCTGTGAAATTCTAGTTTGAAATCCCGTGATGCTTAGATTCATAATTGTGAAGGCGATGTCACAGTAGCCACATGGCACAGCTGAGGCTAGAGATGTCCATATGGCAAGACTTTGGGATGTGGAGAACAGCTGCTTTTCTATTCCATGGGGAGTGGAAGGGGTTTGTATATGAATCAACACGTGTCTCTATGCATGCATGCCTGAGTATAGATAGGTATGCATATGTACCTAGGAGCATATGTATGCATATATGTGACTTCAGTATTGGAAGAGTTGTAATGATAGCTCAGCCTCTTCTTCCTAATGGTTCCTGGGGAGTCTGTGCCTTGACAGTTCTCTATAGAGTAGCTTTTAGCAGCAATAGTCCCAGAGGCACCACTCCCTGCGAGGGACGGTGCTGGCGCCCTTCTCTGGAAGCTTTGTTGGGGTGTCTCTCCTTGATAACATTCCAGCCATAGCTTGGAATGCTTGCCTTTCTTCAGAAGTGTGAGGACTGAGTGAATGCAACAGAATGTACGTATTCCATACACTCGCGATTGGGAGACTTTGCTCACCTCATTATGTTCCCGTAAAATGACTTAAGTAGTGGTGCATTAACTACTGGGTTGGGTTTGTTCCCTGGAATCTTAACTGCTCAGCTGTTGATTGACCACTCCTGATTTAACACGAAAGTCTTGTCAGACACTGCCTCTACTTATCGTTCTCTGGTTGTGGAGGTTTGTTGTTTGTTTTCTCGTAAGGTCCAAAAAGGCAGAAATGCACACATGAGCATTTGGCCATGAGCACAGCAGATGGAGAATTATGGAGCAGATAAACAAGAGTCAATATTTTTTTGTTGAAACCCTGAATTTGTGTCTGGCTCTGTGTCTTGTGTGAAATGTGGTCCTTGCCACGGGGCAGATGTAACCCGAACAGAGACTTGGTTAGCAGGTAGTTGGGGGAGTGTGGAAGGATCTGCTTGTCTTCAGGCAGAGCGAGTAGCTAAGACTGAACTAGCAGTAAAGTTGTACTCTTTTCAAGATGTCTTTCCTGCTACTTAATTGTTGGCAATTTTAGAAACTATCCATACACCTTGTCAAGAAGCAGAATTGAGAGGGTATTTTGGAGAAAGAAAAAAAGATGTATGTGTTCATTCGCTGGGAATTTTTATGGCAGAGGAGAAACCTATGGACAAATTCCTGGCATATTGAAATATCCATTCTGCAATCTGACATTTTTACATAGTGTTTCCTCAAGGAATCTTACTCTGTCTTACTGATAGTACTTATATTGGTCCCCCAAACTAGCAATAAACAGCAACATAACCTGTAAGAAAGCCAACAGGAGGATAAAAAGAGAAAAGAGGGTTTATGGGGAAAATGACAACTCACATTCCCAACAGCATATCACAGGGAGAGTTCAAGGTATGTGACGCTAGTGATTTCACCTAAGACCAGTGTTTGCCACCAGTTCCTAAGAATTGATAGGTTCTTGTTAAAATCTAGATTTGCAGGTCCCCACCCTAGATGTATTAAATCCTTAGGAAAGGGATCTGGGAATATTGTTTTAATAGGCATCTCCGGTGATTCTTATGGTCAGACACGTTGGGGAAACTGCTGTCATCTAATTGACTACTACGACTAATGTATTTCTAGAAGTTTGAGTGAAGGCGTGTGTGTGTGTGCGCGCACACGCGTGTGTGTGTGCATAATTACCAAGGATTTTAAGATTAAAAGAAAATTATCAACTACATCTTGTCATCGTGAAACATTTCTTAATGAACACATCTATGTAGGGTTGTCTGGTTACAGGAGATTTTCTCATGAACTACCTCATTTGATCCTAGTAACAATCCCTTGAGGAGGTTGGGCAGCGATCATCATGCTCACCCCCAAGTTGCAAGTAGAAATGGGCTTTGCATGTGGCTGGCAAGTGTGAGACTGGCTTTGAATAGGATTTTTTTGCCAAACGGGCAAGCCCAACATCAACTCCAAAGCCTGCCACTGTTCCTCTTTTACCTTACACTCTGGTCACTAACATATCAGGTTCTATGCACATCCACACCTTTGCACACCTGTGCTCCCTCTGTCTTCCTTCCCTGTCAGCAACTCATACTTATTCATTAAGGTGCCTTCCTTAAGCTTTTTTGGATACACACTTGTCTTCTTTACCCAGCCTCCTACCCAAGCGGAGCTAGCTGTTCTTTTGGCTGTGTTTACATCACTGTGTTTGCTTCTACTGCATGTTGGGGTCTTGTTTAATGTAGATGAGTTCAATAGTAAGAGCTTGGTAACATCCCCTTCTTCTTCCTTGACCTGCCATCATGCCACTTACTTTTAATAAGCAGTAGATGTAATCATGTTTAAGATAGTACTTGTTGGCTAAAACTATGGGAGGCATTTGGGAATGATTTCAAGGGTTTTCCAAATATTGACACAAAAGTGTTCTGGTGGCCAGAAACATGGCCATTAGCATCCTTTAGGAATGGGATTATTTGAGGATAACAAGGAACATTGTCTAAAAGAAGTAGAGGAATCACAGGGAACTGTTTTAGTTTGCCCGGGCTCCCATAACAAAATACTATGGACTGGGTGGCTTAAACAACAGAAATTTTTGTTCTCCCAGTTCTGGAGGCTGGAAGTCCAAGATCAGGGTTAGTTTCTGGTGAGGCCTGTCTTCCTGGCTTACAAACAGCCACCTTCTCACTGTGTCTTCACATGGCCTTTCCTCCTGTGTGAGAGAGAAGAAGAAAGAGGGAGAGGTGAGAGGGGGAGAGAGAGAGAGAGAGAGAAAGAGAACGTGAGCTCTGGTGTCTCTTCCTCTTCTTATAAGGACACCAGTCCTATCAGATCAGGGCCACACCCTTATGACCTCATTTAATCTGAATTATCTCCTTAAATGCCCTGTCTCCAAATACAGTCGCGTTGGGGATTAGGGCTTGCAACATATGAATTTTGGTGGGGATACGATTCAATTCATAACACGGATTGTATACACAAAACCACAGATTTGTTAGTTTCCTTGTCAGGGATTTAAGGGCCTATCAAAGTTTCAATGATGGGTGATGTTCATGGTACATTCACTTTAGTTCATAGTTCAGGTTAGAGACTATCTGGCCTGGCTTTCAGATGGTATAATAATTATTTCTTTATGTAAATATCTCTCCCACTGGACTTCTCGTAAGGGTTCATCTGAGTCTTATTCATCTTTGTCTGCCAACTGATAATGGTTGAATAAACTTTTAAGGAACAGATCTTCTCACCATCTGCATCAGTATGTGATCAGATGTATTAATTTTAGTTCTGATTCCCATTCTCTTGTGTTTGCAGCCACCATTGGTCCAGGCAATCTTCAGCGGTGATCCAGAGGAGATCCGGATGCTCATCCATAAAACTGAAGATGTGAATACTCTGGTAAGAGATGCTGTGGTTTTGCCACTCAGGCCCCGTTATCCTGGAGCAGGAAAGGGCTCTTAACCTTTTATATACCATGGACTCTTGGTATCTGGTGAAAGCTCCACACTGTTTCTCAGGACACTGTTCTTAAACTCTATATATGAAATAAAATATCTGGGGTTACAATGGAAATCAGTTATTGAAATACGTTATCCAAATATTAAAAATGTAATTTGTGATATGGTAATATATGTGCTTTTAAAAAAGAACACATTTAGACTGGGCGCAGTGGTTCATGCCTATAATCCCAGTATTTTGGGAGGCTGAGGTGGGCAGATCACTTGAGCCCAGGAGTTTGAGACCAGCCTGGGAACACGGTGAAACCCTGTCTCTACAAAAAAAAAAAAAGAAGAAGAAAGAAAAATTAGCCGGGCATAGTGATGTATACCTGTATTCCCAGCTACACAGGAGGCACACGTGGGAGGATTGCCTGAGCCCAGGAGTTTGAGGCTGCAGTGAACTTTGATCATGCCACTGCTCTGTAGCCTGGGTGACAGAGTAAGACCCTGTCTCAAAAAAAAAAAAAAAAATCTGATTAAATAACCAGATACAGCAGAAGATCTAAGAATGAGCATAATTTAAAAATAGTGATGAGCATAATCAGTATTTTGAGTTGTCTGCAACAACTCTAATGCAATATGAACATACCTGTGATTTCTGCTGGTGACAGCATTACAGCTACTGATGTTGCTACTGTGCTTTATGGCCTATATTCATAGTAGAAGGAAGTGCTAAATTCCAATTAGAAGTCAGTGATAATAGAGATGCAATTTTTTTTTCCCAAGGTGATGAACCCCTAGAAACCATGCCCTGCAACAGTGGTTGGCAACCTATGGTACATCATACATTTTTTTCTGCAGGCCTCCTACTAAGAATGGTTTTTATTTTTTAAGTGTTGAGAAAAAAATCAAGGGAAGAATAATATTTTGTGACACATGAAAATGACATGAAATTCAAATTTGATGTTCATAAATACAATTTTGTTGGAACACAGCCATACTCATTCATTTATGTATTATCTCTGGCTACTTTTGCACTGCAACAGCAGAATTGGGTAGTTGTAAAACAGACTATATGTGGCTCACAAAGCCAAAGATATTTACTATCCGGCTTTTTAGGGAAAGTTTGCTGACACTTGCCCTTAAAAGGTTCATGACTCTGAGTCTGGGATCAGTGCGTGAACTAGGCATCGTGTGTGCCCTCTGAACTCACAGGAGGTAGATATGTGCACTATACACATATTTTGTGTGAAATGGATCAAACTGTTTCATCAAGTTCTTAAAAAGGTACCTGACTCCCAAAAGATTAAGAACCACTGTATCTGAAAGGTCCTGACACAAACAAACCAACCTTCAATAAAGAAAGGTAAAAAGAGTTAGTCAATGATTTACCCTTTTAGTAGTTTCCTAGACTTGAGTTGAACAAGCAGTTATGTACAGTACATGCTACTAATTCTCTTAATGTAATTAAATTGTGAAATACTGAAATCCACCAGGGAGAGGAGTTCTCTTTAAAGTCTCTAGTGTTAAGTAGAAATAGAAGTAGTCAACTACATCTTCAGTGTAAGAGGAGATTTGCCACGGGGAGGTAGATTATGTCTAAGTTATCTCTGTCTGGTTGGCTGAATGCTTTATTCAGAAGGCGAGTCATTTGGTGCAGCCATTGTTCTATGGCAGTGCAGGTTGGTGTGGCTTTTGCAAAAGCTTTTGGCAGCATCTTCCCAGCTGGCACTGAGCACAACAGGACTATGGTTTGTGACATTTTTGCAAGGTAAGCACAGATGAGGCCAGGGACAAACTACTCGAGAAGGCAGTTGGGCATTTGTCCAGGGCCTGCGGGTTGTGACCTGTACTTCTGAGACGAGGCCAGGCAAGCAAGCTCCCTTTCCAGTGTTCTGACATCACCGGAATCCACCCAGCCTGTTTTGTGGCTGTGGCCCAAGCCCAGAAGCCCAAGGCATGGTTACTGTCTTTTCCTAATGATCATGAGCAGATGGAACTTTTGTTCTGTCATACATACCTGAAAAGATTGTGCTGGCCCCTGAATGGCCTTTATTTCTTTTTGGGAAAGTGACAAACAGTTGCTGGCTGGTGAAGGTTAGGGGAGCTTAACTTCAGCTATAATTTATCACTGAATTAGATAGGTTAACTACGGTCATACATAGACCCCTAAATGTATGATGGATGTATGATGTATGAAGTTTAGTTCTCTTTATGAACATATTAGAGGGGTGGTCCTTTTCCAAACAGGATCCCAGGTAGCAACACGTGATCTTTAAGATCACCAAAGGGGTTGTGTGCAGTCCTGCCCCCCAAAGGGAAAAAGAGCATGGAGGAAAAGCATGGAAGTATTTTTTTTTTTTTTTTAGACGGAGTCTCACTCAGCCACCCAGGCTGGAGTGCAGTGGTGTGATCTCGGCTCACTGCAACCACCATCTCCCAGGTTCAAGTGATTCTCCTGTCTCAGCCTCCCAAGTAGTTGGGATTACAAGCACCCACCATCATGCCCGGCTAATTTTTGTATTTTAGTAGAGACAGGGTTTCACCATGTTGGCCAGGCTGGTCTTGAACTCCTCACCTCAGGTGATCTGCCTGCCTTGGCCTCCCAAAGTGCTGGTATTACAGGTGTGAGCCACTACACCTGGCCAGCATGGAAGGATTTTTACGGGTCAGCTTGGAATTGGCATACATCACTTCTGCTTATATTCCATGGACCAGAATTTAGCCACGGCCATACCTAGCTACAAGAGAGGGTGAAGAATTAGTGTATCTGTGTGCCCCCAAAGAGTCAGAGAGCATGGATTTTACTGAGTAGTTAGCAATCTTGGCCACACCAGTTTTTGGTCTCAGAGAATTCTAGGGAATTCTAGTGACGCCACTTACTTGTCTGGGAGATGTCTTATTCATCCACAGTTATTTGCTGAGTTGAGACTGTGTGCTCAGTGCTAGGGACACAGCAGTGAGAAGACACCCTTTCCATGATAGAGCTTACAACATAGCAGAGTAGTCAACAAATGAGAAATCACACTGTGACGCATTTTTCAAAGAAAAAATCTGGGATGCTACGTAGGGAGAAGGTTAATCATGAGGACCTGATAAAGTGATATGTAACTCGAGGCTTGAGAGATACATAGGAATTTGCTTTGCCTTTTTGGGCTGTTGGGTATGTGGCAGCAGAGAAGCAGGGGATGCAGGGAGGGAGAGAAATGAACACAAGAGTGGCTGAATGAATGAATGGATGGATGGATGGATGAAGAACACAAAGAAGGCCTGAGTTCCTTAGGTTGATGTTATCACTTTTTGGGGTCCACGGGCCCTTTTGTTCCACTCATCCCTCTTTAGACTCTCCCTTTAGCTCCCCCTTTCCCCTCCTTCAGGTGTGTACAGAGATCATTTGACCCCACACTCTTATCTAGCATGTCCTCTTGTCGTGTTTTTCTTTTGTCAGTGCCTTTGCAGATGAGTCATAGTGACTGTTTTTGCTGGGGGTGGATTAGGTAGTTTAGGAGAATTGGTTGTTAAGAATGGGCATAGACAGATGGAGGACACATAAGGATTGGAGAGCTAAGCCTGGAGGTGCATTTCAAAAGTGAAAAGGGGCTGATAACCATGCATTTAAATGTCAAGGAAGGAAAATAAATAGTGCAGGAGCCACCTGTTACTTGGAAGACCATATTTGTCTTCTTACCCCTTGCTTTTCTTTCTTTCCTCCATTTATTCACTTAATTATTCTTTTCTGTCCCAGGTTCTGAGTTTTTCACCTTCCCCTGCCCTCATCTCTCCATGTTTTTTGATGGATCACATGTTCTCTGGTGTAAATCACCCATTCATTAGCTGATCCTGATATAGAAAGCCATCTCATTCAGCTTGGCCTCTGTGTTTTCAGAATTTATTTTCCCAAATAGTATTTATAAACCCTATGCCCCAACTAACCACATGACTTGATTCATTGAGATTTATTCTATTCTCTCACACTTTTCTCACTTCTCCACTCTTCCAATTCTATTTGTCCTTCCATACCTACTACTTCCTCCATTAAGTTGTCCCACTTCTCACTTCCTTTCTGCTGTCTTCTCTACCACCTTCTCAACCCAGCCAAAGAAACCTACTTCTACCCTCAACTCCAATAGCATTTTGTCCTGCGTTAATCACTGTTGACTACTGCTTGAAACTGTAGCTGACCCTTGAACAACACAGCTTTGAACTTGGCAGGTCACTTATATGCAGATTTTTTTTCCAACCAAAGGCAGATTGAAAAGACAACATTTGTGGGATCTGAAACCTGCATACAGGGAGGGCTGACTTTTCATATATTTGGGATCTGCAGGCCAAACCCAGTGACTTGAATATGTGCAGATTGTAGTGTATGCGGGGGTCCTGGAAACAATCTCCTACATATACTGAAGGAAAACTGTATATGCTTGATGACATGGTCACTATCTTCTTCACTCTCATTTGCTCAATCGCCTAGTCCAGTCCTTGCAGTACATTTGACTGAATGACTCAGCTCTACTTTATTGCTTATGCTGAGCCAGTTTGTGGTAGCTTATAGTTCATTTCTCCCAATGAGGATAAATTGTTAAATAGAGGAAGCTTCTAGTTTAGTTCCTTTCCCTCATTTGTAAGACTGGAAATTCTCCTTGTAAGATTGAAAATCTGTAGATTGATTTGAGGAGCCACGGAAGGGTCAGGAGGGGCACACTGAGTCTTTTTATGGTTTCTATGGTTAGTGGCATACAAGGGCCTGGAAATATGGGATAATCATTGTACACTCTGAGAAATATCTTTAAATCGACCCAGATTTGGCAGAGAGCTAGAAAGGTTTTAGAAGCCTCTGCCTGACTAATCAAACTGAGCTCAAGATGGAGAATAGCATCTGATTTCAAAATTTGGAAGGCAGAGATTTTATAAACCAAAATTTGAATTCAGTAAAGGCATTTTGAGGATTATGTTATGACA